GGAATTCCCGTCACCGCCGTCTTCCCCAGGCACCCACTCCCACCCCGGGCAACTTCTTCCCTGAGAAGCCCAAGAAGCCTGAGCAAGCCCCCGCTCCCGTCTTCTCCACCATCAAGGCCGAGCCTACTCCTGAGCCCCAGCCCGAGCCCGCCCCCGCTCCCGAGCCCGCTCCGGCCCCCGAGCCTGCTCCTGAGCCACAGCCTGAGCCCGAGGCCGAGAAGCCCAAGGAGACCCCCAAGACGACTGCTCCTGCCCCCACTGGCAATGACATGCAGAGCGCCGCTCTCGAGGCCCACAACATTCACCGTCTGAACAACTCTGCCCCTGCCCTGGAGTGGGGTTCCGACTACGCCGGTTACGCCCTGCAGACCGCGCAGACTTGTGTCTTCGAGCACGACCTGTTAGTAACCTCCCATGCATTACTATCTGGCAGAAGATGATACTAACATGACGCAGGACTCCTGGTGGCGGTGGCTACGGCCAGAACCTCGCCATGTGGGGCGCCACTGATGGCGACTCGCTCGGTGCCGCGAAGGCTGTCTCCCAGGCTACCACCAACATGTGGTACAACGGCGAGCTGAACCTGTACTCGCCCAACTTCTACGGTGGTGAGCCCGACATGTCCAACTTCATGCAGTGGGGCCATTACACCCAGGTCGTCTGGGTTGACACTACCACCCTCGGCTGTGCTGTCCACTTCTGCGAGAAGGGCACCATGGACCCCAACATGGGCGTGTGGTACACCGTCTGCAACTACTTCCCTGCTGGTAAGTTGGCAGATATATGCTCCTTCTCGAACCAGTAACAATACTAATTCGTTTCCAGGCAACATGCAGGGTGCTTTTGCTAAGAACGTGCTGCCCCCCGGCAACGCGCCGACCGTCACTGCCTAAGCGCAATGTTATGTCAGGCCATGATGGTGACCTCCTTCGTCCACCGCACAGGCGAACGTCTGTTATCTAGTAGTTCGCTGCATATCTGGAATTTCTGTTCGCGAGACAACTCTGGGTAGCAGGCGTAGGCGGAACGGGGAATCCAACTTATTGGCCGAAGCATATTTTTCTTCCATTCGCTTCTTCCGCTGTACTTTATCAGGATCGCCGACAGCGTTCCCCTTTGAATCCACCCTTACCCCTTGGAAAGGGTGGTCTTCTCGCACAATTGCGCACGGGCCGCCGAAAGAATGGCAGGCTTCTTTCCTTCGACGACGCCACCAAACCTGCACCTTGCAGCACTCGCGTGACGAGCAACGGGCTATGAAGTTCAAAGGAGATGTTGCACGTGATGAGTATTGCATTACGGGATTTTGTTTGTTTTTGGCGTGGAAAGGTACTGGTACAGGGGAAATTGGCGAGCGGAGAAAAACTCTGAACTTGGTCGAGCGGTTTGCTCGCGTCTTGAACCATTTCACTTCTTCACAGAACATCTCGCTTGTTTCGTCTCTCGTCGTGGAGAGGCCGGACTCCGGAAGCTCTGTCGTTCTGTTATCTGATTTGGCGGTTTTTCTTTCCTTCGAGCTGGGCGTGATTTTTTAACAAGTCCTCGCTCGAGATAGTCAGGGCTGGTCAATGGAAATTTATGTCTCA